ATTTTAACCAGTCCCAGAATTAACCGGTGTTTTAAGAGAGCAGTTTGCTCCGACCTAAATTTTTATACCGAGGTGGCAACATTTTTTTTTCGGGGATTTTGTTCTTTCCGATATTAGAGAAATTGGTATCTAATCCGAATTCGCCCCTTTGAGAAGTTGAGCCTCCAGGCCAATTATAGGGGTTTAGCCCCCGGGCGCGATAGAATGTTGGAGTTTCTCCCTTGGCAAGTAGATGGGAACCCTTCATTTTTCTGAAGATTAAAAGAGGAGGGTTACTTGTTTATCATGGTATTTATTGGATTGTTGACCCTGGTTGATGTTGGTTTATCATGGATGCCTTTTTTAAATATGAAGAATACCGTCAAGGGTAATTATGATTGGTATTGCTAGATGTATTGCTATGTTTTGCTTTTGAATCAAATTGCAGGCGGAGATAATACGTTATGTGCCGTCTTAGTCATCATAAACTCTGTTCTTCAAATGATTTTATATGCGCCATTACAAACATTTTATTGTTATGTTGTAACTGGAGGTTCTGTACAGTCGAATAATATGTTATATTCTGATGTTGCAAAATCAGTGGGTGTATTTTTGGGGATTCCATTGGCGGCAGGTTTTGTCATAAGAATTTCATTTTTATTACTAGTTGGGAAAATAGTTTATGAAAAGAAAATATTACCATTTATTGGACCATGGGCTTTGATTGGCCTTCATTATACAATCTTGATTATATTTATTTCAAGAGGTAATGATTTTATTAAAGAAATTGGTTCTGCTTTCCTATGTTTTATTCCTTTGACACTATATTTTCTAATTGCTTGGTTTGGAACTTTCTTCTTGATGAGATTCATTACAAGTAGAGAGATGAGAAATGAAAATCCAGGAACTGACATTGAAGATTTAATTATTGATGAATGTGGTTGTGAAAAAAAATCATTACTTGATGAGAAGACATACGGTAAACCTACATGTGGTGCTGATTATCCAGTAACTGCAACTATGTGTTTCACTACTGCTTCCAATAATTTTGAACTATCATTAGCAGTGGCAATTTCGTTGTATGGAAATGGTAGTAAGCAAGCAATCGCTGCAACGTTTGGTCCATTACTAGAGATTCCTGTTCTTTTATTTTTATCTCTAATGTGTAAATACTTCCAAACAATTTTTGTGTGGAGAAGAACTGAACAGGAAGAAGAAACTTCAACTTAATTAATAAATTAATACAATAACGTCAAAGGGATTTTCTTTTGTTTTACCTTAGGTGCTAGAATAATAATACCACTAAATTAATTGCATAATACCATAATCAGCATATAGAATTAATAATATTTTCGCTAGTGTGAATTGTAGTTGTTTACCTTTTATATACTCATTTATATAGTAGGCACTTCAAAGACTAATCTTGTGATAAAACATTTACCAAATTAGAACAAAAAATATAATTACCATTTTCTCATATGTTAATAAATCTATTTCAGAAATTAAAAAGAATACCATTAAAGAAAATAAAATTTGGTAGAGATAATTTTAAAATAATAATTAGTTACAGGAGTCAGAGACTATTCATTAAATGGCATCAAAAATTATGATATTTATTATTTTACAATGATGAGAATTTGTTTTGATTTGAATATCAAATCTCTAACTCTTATATCACTTTAATAATGATTAATCAGACATCCATATTAGTGTAATCCTATCATACAGACTCACTGATTATTATTATATACCGGCGTCACCATTGAATTGGCATCATCTATCTATACATTTCGAATTTGTCGATGTTTTCACCGATGTGCATCTTTTTCAATTATTTAACATTGCGTCATTTCTTTTTCTCTCTCCAATGGCAACCAGCGATAAAGTTTGAAATATAAAATGGCAACCAAAATGTGTTTAATTAGGATGTATCTTAATGGAAGTTTCATTTAATCAAAAAAGATAATTATTATTAGATAACCGAACCCCAGAGGATAAATTTTATATTGTGGAATACTATGGCAGAAGAAAAGATCCCATTTAATGAAACAAGCATGAAGCAACGGCCTAAATTTACTTTCCAAGAACCAGATCTCGAAAATAGCATGGTTACTAATAATAACAAAGAAAAAGCTGGTTGTATAAAGATTAGAGTTGGAGAAGTATCATTTGTGAGAGCTCTCACAGAATTTTTGATGGGTTGTATGGTATGGAATTTTATTATTTTCTGCGGACACATGTATACTAACGACGAGATACAATTTGTGTTTGGAAACGATGTTCAAATGGTTCTACTTGGATCTTTATTCATAATTGCTGACATCCTAATCATATTAACTTGGTTTAAGGCGATTGAAGAAGAAGGTAAAATAAAGATTCCGAATTCATTAACAGTATTTAGTAGATTATACGACTTCTTGGTTAATCGGAAGTCCGTTTACAGCACATTGCTGTTATATATAATCACTCATGCTTTCAGAATGGATAAACATAGTAATCAATATAGATTCATAGTTGTAAGTATACTGTATCATCTAGGGGTTTCTGAAGAATATTTAAACAATAGGTTCTTTATCGATGTATCAGAAACTGACTTAACGTATATCTAATGTAGCCAAGGTTACGATGAAGAAGAAAGACCAATTGAGTATGATTGAATTCAGTTAGTATTGGGGATGAGTGGACCTTTATCCTTTTTGTACGTAGTAAGAATCGATTTTGTGTATATTGAAAATATAATAGATCAATGGTTGAGTAATTTTAATAGTTCATATCAAATTGTTCATTTGATATCTATAAAAAAAGTTATGAATTTTCTAGAGAATATAGGAATTTTAATTGTTAATTCAAACTAGATGAGATAAATTAGAAAAATATTACTATTATAAATAGATCTTGTAAATCATCATGACAGGACAATCCTGATGCAATAAATATTTTTATAAGTAGCTGGAAAGATGAATTGAAAACTACAAAACCAAAATATTTTGTTCTTTTTATTACCTTACATGATAGAGGAATTATAAATATTATGAAAGAAACTTTCTAGTTCACATTTATGATAAAACCTGATTATTTAATGCAAGGTTGTGAAATATTTTATATAATAAGTATCTAGTATTCTCGAAATTCGATCTTATAATATATTAATCTTAGTTATTTTATTAGTTGTTTATTATAGGTCTAATATACAATAGATCATCACAGAGATGGATAATGCATTATGTGAGAATATATCTTCTTTTATGTTATGAACATTTATTTTATAAATAAATTGGATAGTTAGAGACAAATTATTTTTCTTGTCTAATAGGTTAACACATTGGATAATTAATAACTAATCTCTATAGATCATTACAGGTCCATCTCCATCGTGGCTGGCTCATCGAACAGTTCTTCTATTGACTAGTACTAATCTACCCTTGACAGGTGTGACCATTGACACACGTGACACAAGGTACTACAGCTGAGGTCTCCGCGTTTCCATAGATCTCGATAATATTCTGACGTCATAAAATATGTCCAGAAAATGTTGTAATCAAAAGCGGTGAAACAAGATCCTTAAATGGACTTGTTGCTAGGAAACACTATTTAAAGTTAATGCTTTTGTTAATTGATAAAATATTAACCTACGATGCTAAGTGATCTTGACTACCTAGGGATACTTCAATTTAAATTATAGAAGATTCAAAGATGGAACCAGAGAGTTTCAAAGCATTCAAAGAGGTGAAAACCAAAGATGTTACAGACCAACCTAACTCCTGTAATAAAATTGAAGTTATAGTTAATTTATTCATGATGGCCATCGTTTGTATGACCTTTCCTATGGGTAATGAACGAAATACACAATTCTCCATAGATTTAATAATTATTTTTATTTTAAAATTAGCGATGAACTGTACAGGTTGGTTCTCCATTGATCAATTAGCGAGGATAATGGTAGAATTAGATACAATTACATGTCAGTATGCACTTTATCACTAATTTTCTTTTGTTTAGTTTTTGATTGTATAATATTATACTTCAAATTTATTTAAATTCTTCCAAAAGTATGAAAGGAAGAAGCTAATTTAACTTTTCATACCAATGAACCAGTTTATTTTTAAGGGACTGCAATTTGATAATTTGACAATCGCATCTCAAATTAAGGTAATAACTAGCAGGTAATTACTTCAAAATTATTAATTGGAGAGGAAATTTGTTGCATTCAAGAACAACCAATGGGAGATCTAAGTTTGGGGAACATATATAATTCCATATGGTAGTGACCTAAAAAGTTTAAACAATATTATAAACATGTGTAAAACAATAATTTTTTTAAATTAATATACAGTTTTCTGGAAGAATTAACTAATATTATTCGTATTGAACCAAATACTACAAAAAGAAAGTACATTGATATCTATCTTTTAACTGTATAGTTACAACAGAGTACTAACAGTACTCCTCCAAGTAGCTATTCGTTACGGTACATGCGTTATTCTTTTTCATCATATTGGTTTAATAAGATTAATTCAAAATGAAATCCACATCAATTAATATTAGATAATTACAGATACCATATTTTTTGTCATAAAGTATGGACGATATTCAACTATTTTGTTGTTTAAGCTAGAAATGATATTTATCACAATAGAAATAATGGATTAATATATGAAACTAATATACAAAGTAATGTAAATAATACACTATAAAAAAGGGGAAATATTTTCCTAATATTACAAATACTAGAGTAATATTCACTCGACCTTAGATTAATATGCCCTAATATTTAATGGTAATATAAATATTGAATTATATCATAGACATATTACAAAATGGTAGAATAAAATTGGAAGGGAATAGAATGCAGTAAAATTAAGTTTAAAAATAAGCCTTAATCATATCTTCGACTAAGTCATAGAACTTCAAGTCAGACCCATTGGTCAATCGAACCTTTATATCATTTCTAGGACTACGGACTTCACCAAATGGTACAACATAAGCACCTTGATCATTAGTAGTTAAATCAGGAGATAATGCCGCATATAACTCTGAGTATGCACCGAAGATAACATCCATACAAACAGCTCTGATAAGGAATCCTGAAATAGCCCCATAGTCTCTGGTTAAGTCTGATTTTAAATTACCTGGATAACAAGAGACTGATACACAGTTTATTTCATTAACAATTTTTTGATTCTTGGTAGCCCAGGCTTTATCTTGGAGAATGTTTGCAGCTTTTTATTGGGCATATAATGTCCAACTTGATGGTCTCTTGTTCATTGGAGTATTAACAAAACCAGGATCTTCCCAATTAATACCATATTGAGGGAAGGAAAATATATGGTTGACAGAACTAACCCAGACAATTCTTTTCAAGTAGTTGGAATCTTTTTTCAAGAACAATGGATCTAAGAAGTGTTGTAACAATTGTGGACCCATTACATTGGTTGAAAACATTGCTTCGACTCCTTGTTTTGAAGTACCGGTGTTAGTACTCGACATTAAACCAGCATTATGAATAATAATATTTAATGGCTTATCACCTAAAATTTCTTCCAACTGTTTTAGCAGCAGATTTAATACTAGCCATATCTAACAAATCACATCCACCTGCGACAGAGATTGATCCCTTGGAATTTTTGATTTCTTGCATGACCTTTTCACGAGCTTCTAAACCTTTTGATTCAGTTCTAACAATACCAATCACATTACAATTCTTTGAGTATAACAATTTCATGACGAAATAACCAATACCAGTGTTACAGCCAGTGACAATTGCAGTTCTACCAGTCAAATCAGGATATTGTTCTGGTAAAAATTTTGGTTTATTTGGACTATTACCATAGTACATATCACATAAATTTTGAGTTCTACTGATTGATGGAGCTGGTTCAGTCATTTTTGTTAATTCTGTATAATTGCATTTTATTTATTTTTTATTTAAGTTTCTGCTTGGGCACTTGTTTGATATTATGGGATATATTTAATACTATAATATAATATATTTAAATTGAAATGGATTGAATTGATTCAAAATGAAACTTTTTTTAATTGATGAAAATTGATGTCTATTTATATGCCATTGGGAATTGAAAAAATAATGAAATTTTAATTCAACTTTAATGAAAGGCTAAGCAAATACGACGAGGTGACTACTATGAACTACATTGTTACGCTGCACTTTAAGTCATCGATCTTTCGATATCGACAATGAGGTACGAACGTTGCCGTTTCTTTTCGGTTTCCTTCAACTTCAAAAACAGGATCTAAAACGCATTTTAACATTCCATGGGAAGCGGAAGGAATGTGTTGCTCATCGCTCGTCTCGATTTTTTCAAAGATACTGTATATCGTACTTGACGACAAACCTTTATGATGGACTCCCCTGAATGGAGGCGCCGGGGAATAGCTATTTACCCAGAACCAGATGTAGAGTGGTTCGAAATTGGATCCGTCTTACATCCTGCTTTGGGAGATTGGAACAAACGCACTCGTGATACGGGAAATTGTCTTGATTTTAATCACCATGTGAATATTTAAGTTTCTGTTTTTACATCTAATTCGAAATGAAATGTCCAGGGCTTGGCGTTATCGAATTTGGTTAAACGCTGTTCTCATCTCGAAATGACAAGATATATGCAAGTTCTAGAAACAGTGATTTTACGTCATATCTGATAAAGGATGCGAAGCATTCCAAAGATCAATTGAAGGTTTAATGCTGAATATGCCATTATAGAACAAATAAAAGAAGGATTACTATTAGGGTGGAAAGACAATGTGATAACTAAATAAATGCTATACCCTACACCAGATATTTTGCTTCTATATTGATGAATTCAGGAGAATAACTATTGAATATCATCGAATAAAGTAACCAACGTTATATATTGAAAGCGTTACCGATTTATTAGATGCTTATCGGTATTTGAAATAATTACTTTTTGATTTCTGACAATAACAACATATTTTGCTATTACTGCTATATTCTTTACAGAGCACTTAGTAAATACCTTAGTTATCGAAATTTAGCTGGTTTACGTCAAATAAGTCCCGGTATTACTTTTATTTTAACCGTCAATATTGTGGATACTCGCACACGTTAATAGATATAAATAGTTTCCAATTGTACTTACTATTTATCTTTGTCAAAATCAACAATAGAAATACGTATTATTGGGAGTGATCCTTATTCGATAGTTTGTATTGAACTACGTTGACAATTGTTGAACTTCCTAAATGCATTCCAGGGCATCTCTCCTCTCTTATGTTGGCGTGTTCATCCTTCCTTAATCGCACTAAAGTACTTCACTACTAAAAAGTTAGCATATACAAAGACGAATAGAAGCTATGATTGTGCAAACATAACCAATAAATCATATCCACATTCATAACTACAACCAGGCGGTTATTCCTTTTGTGAAAGGGAGAAGCGCCCACTTGTCATATATACCTAAAAGCATATATTTTTACACTTTATTTACATTCCTAGTTATTACTGCTGTTACTTTAAAGGATACCTGTTATGCATTCCAGAGGTCTAACGAATATTTAAATAGGTTAGCAAGTCCAGGTTTGTCTCTGATTATAAAACTTTCGATAGATCCTAGTATAATTACCAAAATTAAAATTGGGTAAGAGGTCTGAGAGTTTATAGTAAGACTTTATCGGTTATTTGTATTGAGTTTACACTAGTGGACAAGGATATGGATTACTGTTTAACTATCCCAATATATTATTATTTTATACATGACGTATATTATTGTTCGAGATCCCTACCTATGTACTTGATTGTTGAGTACCAGGTTTACCTTCTATACCACAAACCGATGCATCTAGATTGAGAGTCATATGAGTTAAAACATTTGTACTGTCTCTACATAGCTTTCTCCGAACTATAATACAACTTGTCCAGCTTAAGAATTTAGATCTCCAGCATCATCATTTCTAAAAAGTCCTGATTTTAGTAGTTTTCAATTATCTTTTACACATTGAACATATTTACATAAAAACTTAAATTCGTACGCTAAGGTCAATGGTTCAACTAAGACTAATGATAAATTAAATAAGAGTTATGTAGTATTTTATCTATCTGAATATTTACCAGTTGCTGTGAAACACGATCTTTCACATTACAGAAATGGAGTTTCCTAATAAATATTTTGCATACATTGGTAATGTTGTTAATTATAAAGTTGAAGAGGGAGATTTTGAATTTGCTAAGAGAGGTGCTTTGATTAGTTCTCCTTTTGCCACTTATGTTTTGAAACATGAGGATTTGTTCCCAGATTTTGTCTGTAGTAATGCCTATTCTAATTTAATCATAGAAGGTATGTTTAACAAAGAACTATTTTTGAAATATAAATCTTTTTGATTATATTGCAAAATTGGTTATGTTGATTTAGATTTTGCATTTAAAATTTTTTATGATTTATTAGATTGTAAGTATATGTTTTATATTGTTTCTTGTTTTAAAAAAAAATTTTTTTAACTTTAAAGATACAATGGAACCAGATATAGATTTAGATAAAATAGCTTGTATGTGTAATAAAAGAATTTATGAACATCAATTAGAACTGGCAAAAAGTAAAGGGTATTTTCTAAAACATCTTGATTTAGAAAAAGAAGTTGTTTTAAACCCACCTCTTAAAGTTGATATAGATGAAATAGATAATAAATTAGAGAGACATCCATTATTAGGTTATGAAGAATTAAGCGTCACAGATTTCATTTCCCCTTCGCATTAATGATCTTATATATTTAACATATCTAAAAATATTTAAATTAGAAAGTTGTCTTTTTTTCTTGTTTTAATAATATCAGTTATATCACTAGTTTCTGTACCTATTCTTATTTCTTTGAATTCAGGTCCAAACAATCCATATGTTGTCATTTCAAAATCTTCAGTTTCTGTAGCTTCATCTATTACAACAGTATCTATTAAATTACCTAAATCAAATACAGTATTAACTATCAACATGGTTTCTGGTCTTAAGAGTTCGGTTAATACACTTCTAATAACAAAAACAAATTCAAGAGTTCTTAATCTTTTAGTTTTTGCCAAATATTTTTCTTCTGGTTTACTTATATAGTATTTCTATTCAACAACATCTCCAATTTCAACATAAACAACTAAACTACGCCATCTTTCCAACATTCTGCAACTTCGAAATAAATAGGATCATCTGTATCATCAACGTCTGGTTTAGTACCTAAACTATTACAAATAATATCTCCTTCATTTAAAATATTAAAATCTAGATCAGAATTATATCCTATTTGAACATCTAATGGAACATTAGAGTTAACACTTACTTCATATGTAATATATATTTACAATCTCTTAAAATTGGTTCGCTATAATATTTCATTACCTTATTTTTTTGGTAAATAACACATATTATAATTATTATTGGACTTATGGATATATGAAGTGACTAACACCGTAGACTTGCATAAAGATAAGAATTAAAGGTTTTGATTAAGTATTCTTTCGAGACTTGTCAGTCCTGAAATTGTAAGAAAGTAAAGCTTATTTAAAGTACGCAGGAGTACTCTAACTGGTCTCTTAAATCTAGAAACAGTCTAACAATCTATATCCTAATATAAGGTTAATAGTATAAATTGTAGGTATTTTGCAGTGCAGAGTCTGTTTTGTTTTCTTGTCTTGTCTTATAAGTGTCAGGATTGAAGAATGGAAATTTCATAACCCTTTTATATGTATTTCAAAGCGTGCAAAAGGATGGTTTTTTTGGCTCTCATTCTTTTCGTAAACGTCAATTATAGGATAAATATGACTATGGTCATGTATGTGACTATGACCTGACCTGCATTCCTGAGTTTGCTTAATATTCATATATTTCTTCTCATTTGTGTTTGTACATGGTGAATTTTTGGTAGCGAGTGATCACCCGCAGGTATAAGTAGGGTAATTGTTAAAGTGATGGTAATAAAGCCAAGATGATGAAAGTTTTCGAGTAACTGGGAAATAAATTAAACTCGGAGACTAAGATTATGAGATAAAATTTGACGTTTATAGTCTATTGGTGTATTATTTTAGCTATACTTGTTATCTTGTTATATCTACTCTAGCTAGTGCAGATCACCGCAATCTCTTTAACAGAGAGTTGCCGTCAAAAGAATAACTCAACTAAGCTTTTCAAATTATTATTAAAAACATACTCCGTTCCAACTATCACATCTAACATCATTACTATTTCAGAGAGATATACAGTCATTGATGGATTCTTAATTTACACTGAAAAGAATAATGGAAATGTTATTAGTGAGATTGTAGATGTTAATTTTCGTCAAGGTCATCTTAGGGATGACGAAAGAATAAATATTGAGAAATATGACTTAATAGATATAACTGAATTACGTGAAACAAATAAACATTCTGAAATGATCAGTTGCAACGCAACGGAATTGTTTGATTATTATAACACTATTAAAAGGCATTGTTATTGGGGTAATGATAATTTAGTATTGTTTACAGATCGTAGTAAGAAGGAGAAAGAAAGAGGTCCCAAAACTTATAGGGTCATCCTACTTAGAAAACCTAATAAAGTCTCCAAGTATCTCTACTATAAGCAAACGTATTAATGAAGTAGATAACAACCTAGTACATAGGTATTTGACACCTAATACCAATTCAGGTGTTGCCAACTTTTTCGAGGATATTATGAAAGTTTACGATATGGATATTTGTGATAATGATTTAAATATTCTAAAAGACTATAATCAAATGTATTATGAAATCAAAAAGAATCAATTAAAATTTTGAATGAAATGTACTATCATGTCAAAAAGAATCATTGCTGTGTAATATTAACTAGATCAGTTTTTACAACCTGTTGATGAAGAACTATTCCCAAAGGTTTTTCACCGGCAGTGAATTAGAGTTATATGAAACAAAGTTTGCCAACTTCCTATATCTTATTGAGGTATTTACAAGATTAGAATTATCTAAAAACATACATATTCCTTCTTATGACTGTTCTGACTATCTGATTACCAAGATAAGTAAAATATTTTATGCTATTATTACTGATGATGAAAAATATATGGAATACCTTCATCTGATGATTTGTCTATCGTGTTTTAATTGGAATAAACCGTTTGAGAAGCTACCTCCCACTCTATCGTACTCAGAGTTTCAGTATAACTTAGATTCCCTGAAATGTTGGGCAACTTACTCCACTCTGTCCCGTAGTTTTCAATTACAAAATATTTCAAGTACGTTAGACTCATTCATATTTTCTATCGAACCTTGGAAAAGCATAACCTACCGTCCAATTGAAAGCATTTATAAGAAGTTGGTTAACGAAATGCTCGCGATTCCTGGATATTCCTTTATTCCTTTAGATCCTAGGAATTTTTTGTTAAATAGTAAGCAATTTCAAAAAGAGTATTTGGTTGATCTTTCTATCGATGTTAAAAATCTGTTCGATAGTAAGTTAAATGTTCTAACGCGTTATTACAAAGTTCTTAAAGATGTATCTGTAGTGGCAGAAATGACAAGGAAATCCCCTAAGGGTACTGTTTTTGAAAGCAGAGATCATTCAAGGATAGGTATTACTGATTTCTTTATTAGAGATACTCAGATGTCAGTAATTCCAACAATGAGTTTATATAAGAAAGATGATAATATTACAATAATAAAGCTAATTGCAGATTGTCTAACTTGCTTAATGTTGATGATCTACATCTCATCTGGTGGTCCATATGGATTTCCCGAAATGAGAGTATTTAAGTATGCTAGTAAGGAAAGAAATCTGTTCATTAACCAGGTCGATAAAACAGTTGAATTTATTATTAATTATTCAAAAAACAAATCCCATATTCCTATATGTAAGGTCGTCGATGAATTGACTTCAGACTATATTATATACGCTATTATGGTTATATCTCCAATTATCCGTACGCATAATCATAAGATGAATTACCTTATGAAACGTGATTTACTATATGAAATAAGTTCAGATAGTGACTTGAATCGAAATGATATTGGTATCACACCTCAACAAAATCTAGATGATAAAGAAATCACATCTCAAATTCTAGATTCTTATTTATTTGCCGATCCCATTACAAGAAATTTGATTGGCAATATTAAGTTTGATTTCCTTTTTAAACATTATCCTTCATACGAACTTGAAGACTTACTCTTTAATTTTAGGGCCTTAAGGCAGGCAATTATTGATATTCAGAGATATCAGTTAGGTGTTGATGATGCTGATATGCGTATTAACCCTGCAGTTGCAAAACGATCTGGTCATTCTTTGTTGACAGACATCCAGAATTATGGTGGTATTTTAACCGGTATGGAAGGATACAATAATAATACAGAATATAATGGTGGATATTTCATTTCCAAATCCTGGATAAAATTATTGGGTCTTGGATATGAAGTTTCCAAATTCGATCCTAAAGATGTAAAATTAAGTAAAGAAAGGCCTGAATTCCAAGTAAGTGGCGACATGAATGGTATTCTTTCTAAAGGTTGTAAAATTTATGGTGATTGATTTAATATTAAACAAGAACAGATGAAGGTTTGTGTTGATGTTTGTTTTTGTTCCTCTGAAATTATTCTGGTGCAATCTCTACCAGGCTTGCATAACACATTTATTTTTGAAATACCTTTGGATATGATTGCTAATAATAAAAAGGATAAGCATTTTGATTGTTTTGTATTTGTTCCATACAGCTGTCTTCTAGATGATATTATGGATCATTTAAGCTGACTGCTACATGTATTATTGGTCAAGTCAAAAATATTATGTGTAACCATGGATTCTGTGGTGAAGCCGATCTTACCTGCGATGTATATTTTAAAACCTTTCATGACTTTGGCAAAGAGCAGTTCGTGAATCTGATCAATAATTGGTATGACATTTTTCAGAATAATTTATTGGGTATGATGGATGGTAATTGACGAAGCTAACAATATTGTTTGTGAAAAGGAAAATTGTATGAAGTCATATAATATTTCTAATATCTGTTTAGACGAAGCTTGGAAAGTTATACCTCGCTCTGGTACTGTTGGAGAGAGTACGATGGGAGAAGTGACTAGATTTCTAGGATATAGGCAAGATTTGACCTATGATGCTACTGACGAAAAGAACATTTTTTGGTATAATTTTGTTTAAGGATGTGCTTTTTAGTAGAATAGATAAGGAATTCATTCTTACTAAAGACAGATCTGAATCCATTACTTAGACCCTGTAATTGGTTGAAGGAATTATTAAAGCTGTTGATAATCCCAAAATTATTCTGGTTGTCAAGGATAGGGAAATGGTAGGGATTATAAGTTAATATTTGGTGAATTACAGTATTTCTTCTTGTTATGTTCGTGGAAAATTAGCATCTGAAGAAAAAACTGCAATATACCATTCAATGGATTCAAGAAGAACAAAGAAGGAAAAGTCCAACTTAAATTTAAATTGGTTTAAGAAGGTATTGATATTCCAGAACTGAAATATGTTATTTCGGTTGACTATTTAACTAGAACTCACGAATATATCCAGACTACTGAAAGAGGTAGAGGAAATGGTACATTTATTACATTATGGAATGACGCTTGTAGAGATTATTTCTCCATAAATTCTAATTTTATAGTGAACCAAATCAGTGGCTTTTATGGGTTGATAAATTTATTTGAGCATACTGCTAGTTGCCGTTCATATCAATTTTTGAATGATAATAATAATGACAGGTTGTTGGATATTATAGGTAAGAAGAATGGAAAAATAAACAAAGTGATAGAGAAAAAGAATGACAATATTAAATTGAATATTGGAAATATAGATAGAAAGAGAAAAATGTATACTTCTGGAACGAATGAAATGATTCCTTCAAATAAAAGGTTTCATATGGAAATGGTCAAAAATAATATTAAAGTTACTTTGAAAGAAGATTTTATTTCACAATTTAAATATGCTGATGATTTTTATAATTTCTTAGGAGTTAAAGGAAATTTTAAGTCAGCTTTGATTGCTGATGGAGTTAAGGAATCATACTTTGATTTTGTTCTTTATGATTCTGATTCTTGTCCTAATTGTACACATCCTGGAAATCGCTTTTACTGTTGGAAAAAAAAAATCACTGTAAAGCAACTTGCTATTAACTATTTTGTTTTTATGAAAATGGCTATGACTGATACAATGTTTGCAGAAAATGTTGATGACTTAAAGAACGCAGGTCTATTAAAAAGAACACTATCTTTTGTTGAAAGGAAATCTACCATGATGAAGTTATATAAGGAAAATCTTTTAGGAAACTGTTAATTTGTTACGGCGGGAATTCTTTTGAAGTGAATGAAGCTCATGATTTCAGAGGGATTGCAGATATTTATAACGTCAAGTGGAAATATCTTAAGCAAAATAAGCTGGAGATCTTTCGGCATTTCTATTATGGATCACTCCATAAAACTGATGTATAATGGGACTGACCATACGAGAGAGATCTTAGGAAATTTGTTCAGTCGAAGTTCAGTGATTTTGCAAAAGTTTCATCCAAGACCACTGAGGATACGAATTTTGAATTCTTTACATCACTATTTAATTTTGACAAATTGAAGGAATGATCAAACTATGAAGAAATTGAAGATATGATGCAACGTTGCAGAATTGGAAGTAATGAATCAGGTTTGCTTATTGTTGATGACAAGAAAGTTCTCTTGATGCTTCTTAGGCTTTATTTTAATGTTGATTTTCGAAGACATCTGAAGGTATACCCCCCCTAGTTGCCAGATATATGATGTTCCACCAGTGGGTACAACCACAGAGGACTTGGATACATATTAAAGAGTTGAATATTCCCAATGCCAATAAATATTAGACATATTATTATTACCATAGATTGATTATGGAAACCAAATATCCTAGAAAGAATCCGGGTTAATTTTGTACTGTAGATATATAATATGTGTGTAATAAATTTGGTTTAAATCTTTGCTGTAACCTCAATGTGTATTTCTTATAGGACCATTTACTGTCATAACCACACCAGAGACGTCAGACTCTGTTGCATAAGACCAAGGAATCCCTCCAAAGCTGACATCTCAATTCGAAGCCAAAGGGAAATTTTCCTTTCAGTTTTATTGTAAACCGTGGCGGACCCCGGAGAGACGATTAAAATTCTGTTCGGCCAGGAGCACAACCAGCATACCAGCATAGCCAGCAAACAAACATAGCTAGCATCTTAGTAGCCTAAGCTAGAATAAACCAGATGAAGCCTGTGAGTTATATATAAAGAGACAGTTTCTCTATCTCAGTGAAAGTACCTCTGCGATCTATCTATTCCTTCTATAATTGTATGCAAAAAGAAGAAGATCACGTTCCCAACAGTAAGTACAGCTCATTATTATGGATCTACATGAGGCTGACAACAGCACTTTCTCGGTGTCACATCTGTATCAAGAGGTTATGAGCCCTTTTGCATTGTCTGACGTCGCCATCCCCATTAAGCTATCAGGGGTTGGCAAATTCCACAGTTGGCTACGACTTTTGAAACAGCACGTTGATGTTAACAATCTAATTTGGAGAGAATATGTCGAAACCGGTGATGTCCATTCGGTTACCCAAGAATTCAATTTGTCCACTGATGTGGTCGATAGGATCATTTCAATCTTGGATTCTGCCTTGAGAAGGTTAATCTTTCTGAGTATCAATACCGAAATTAGAAAGAAGGCCATTGGGTTTCTTGAACTTCAATTTAGGACTCACGATTCATTACACCTTTTGGTTTATTTGAAAAACCTTTACTGCACGGAACACATTAACGACCTTCTACTACTTTATTATGAAATTAATACTTTTTCCTCAAAGTCCATCGAAGACAGAATTATTTGGACTAAAGAATTTGCCAGATCTATGTTCGATTTAGATCAGTTGGATGTCGAATTTCCTGATCCTAACATTAGAACTGCTGTTACTGAATACTATAGTAATGTTGAAGTATGGTTAGCATTAGAAGCCAAACCAGCAAACCAGCATCTAATTAGAATAATTAGATGCTATCCTTAAGCTATATAAAGGGATAGTATTCAAGATAAATGAAACTATTCCTACCCTTTATCTAATCCTTATATAAAACTATATAAAGTGATTAAGGATTAGCTTCCCAACCATATAGCTTTGAATAATTAATACTCAAATTAATAATAATCTTAAAACTGAAAATTACTCCTTCTCAATTTCGAACCTGCGTCAACATTTAAGAGTTAGTGTCTAAACTAGAGTTACAATTTTGCAAGTAAATTCCTTGTGGCAGATATAGACACATTAGCAGCCGGATCCTGGGATGCTAGGAAGACATGGGATTGATATTGAAGATTTAGTATTCGAGAGAAATATATACCCTTTGATAAGTTGAAGTGTAAGTATTTGCTGCATATTGAACAGTTCCAAGTTATTAGATTAAGTGTGTGTTAACATATATAAATGTTATAATTACTTCCATGCGATTTTTTTGTTTTAGAAAAATGTCGAAAACCTGAATTCGAGTTGTATCACCAATGAGATATTATTGCAAGCTGAGAGAATTGATTTAAAGTATATTAATGTATTGCATAGCAGCCAAATGGTTTTTTCTTCTTAATCGAATTAACAGTTTAAATTAAATGGATAAAGTTGAATTTACTTCCTTCACAAGTTAATGTTGAAGTAATATTCGTATTATATTTCAGATTTGAAATATTTACTTTACCTTACTACAATTGATTAAAATATTATACTAATTTTCCTGATATTAATGCCAGTGATTTATTTTGGTATCAAACAGTCAGCACATCGAAATATAAGTATGCTTTAAAGTTTTATTTTATAAAATTATTCTTTTTTGGATGGAAGTCGTATTAGAATTAGAATTGGAAAAAATACAAATGTTAAATCACGGAATATTAGATTTTGGAGGGAGAGGTTGGTTGTGGAGGTAAGAATGTTAATTTTCATATTGTATTATTACCTAGGTATAGCTCTAATATGTATGGATTATTTGGTTATAAATATTTCATGTAGTATATTAGACTATATAGTAATATATGGTGATATGATGACGGATATTACAATATTGGATTTGATTGGGGATACCAGCTCTTCTAGAGGATAAATATCAACTTTTAACTCTAAAATTGATAACAAAGCTTAATATATTGGTCAGTCAAATAACGATAATGAAAATGGAAAATAAAATCTATTTCTTTGTTTATAGACAATAAATATTAGAACATTTTTTAATAGATTTATACAATGATTATCAATAATATCAATATTCGAAATATGAAAGTGATATAACCAATTGAACTTATTTCAAGAAACAATGGCTTGTTGGAACGTATACCGTTAGTTGGTATTGAATTTTGTGTGTTGGAATATGTTCAGTATTAGAAATACGACCAGCAAACCAGCAGGATGGAATAGGCAGCAACTAATTAGAATAATTATATGAAATGTTAAAGCTATATAAAGTGATAGTTATTTATCTTAATAAAACTATTACTTCTAAGATATATTTAATATTACAGCTTATTTGGTATTGAAATTGGTGGTTGGCAAAACATATTTTACAATACCAATCACATTATTAAATGTTTATTAAGTTCAAAATATTTAAATATAACATATGTCAAAGGGAAGGATTAATACACCAGAATACAAATACAATGTAGTTGTAGTATGTATTTTAATTGGAGAGTTGTATATAAAATAATAATGTACCCCTTCTTAAAACTACAATTGTGACTAAATTGGTGGTTGGTATCCTTTTGCTTTGGCATTTCTTAGAAAACGTTAATGTCAGTTAAATCACTTCTATTTAAGTAAATATAGATAACAACTTGAAACAAGCATATTATATTAGAGAGTCAGTGGATGCATATTTACACTGCCTATCTGTGACGTATTGTTTGGTCGGTATTTGGTAAGTTTTAATTATTATATAGTTGTACAATTATTTTTGTATATGTTAGAATAAAGTCTGTTATTCATGTATTCTAGAGAAACTTAATGTGGAGATCTGTATTAGAGAGTAAATATACTACTAATTAATAATGTTACTGATGTTTTCTTTATATGCAAGTTAGCATACTAAATAATATACAATAATATACAATAATAACTCTTTATAGCAATAAATGTAACTGAAGCTAGTTTTGGCAATTGTTATTCTAATTATTCCATTGAATCGCAGTAACCTTACTATTTAGGTATAACTGCACCTCTATTAAAAACACGGTGATATAATTTATGACATCCTTATGTGATAAGGATTTGGTATTGATTACGCTTAAGTACAAAGGGATAAAAATATTTATATATTTAATATTACTGTATAGTTATTATAATAGTTTGATAACCTCATATATCTTTTAACTAATAACCTTAAGTAATTATATCTACGGCTTGTTTCCCTATATAAATACATTAATACATTAATATTTAATATTCCGGACAAAAAAATTCAAAATGATGAGATTTATGTTTTGTTAGTTTTATATTTAGTGCTATAAATATTATTTATTATCAGTTGGATAAAGATGAAACTCATATAAGAAAAAATATTACAAAATATAAAATTGTATTTTGAACTAAAAATTGTAAAATTATTTATATTAATATATAAGAAAGAGAAGAGTTATAATAAAATAAGTTGAATTATACAAGTTAATTATATGAATAGATGTAAATTGATATAATGCTATTGAAAGTATATTAAATGAATTAGTTCTGTGACAGAAAAATGGAAATGAGAATGGTAGAAACTGATATTATTCTGGTTTGGATTTCTGTTAGAGGGATCTTATGTTGGATTCTGGGAATCAGTAGATGACAATCTTAAGTTATCCAGATCTAACCCTATGTCTGAAAGATATACTTTGCTGACAGGAACACATTCAGGGTAACTGTTAGTTTTCAAAAGGTATATAAGCAGACCAGATTTCAAGTTTCTAGAAAATATTTTCTCTTTTCTAATGTTCACTTTATGAACTAAATTATATTTTATATTTTGTATACTATATTTAGAATTTATAAAAAACCAAGAGCTTGAATAAACAACTAACGTATAATTGTACTTATACCTTAGATCTCAGTTAATATATCCACTATCACTCCAGTACAACCATGTCCCACCCTGATCAACAGTCCAATAACACTCACCTATTCCAATCTCAAGAAATAGGTGCCGTCCTGGTTTCGAACCTGCGCAAACAGGTTATGAGCCCTGCCAATGCAACCGACCTTATTCCCATTGAACTACTTGGTGTCCAAAACTATGATATGTGGTATCATTACTTTATGCAAGTAGTTGGTGAAGCCAGTCACATTTGGTCAGAATATGTTGAAACTGGAGATATTCAATCCGTTAGAATTGAATATGGATTACCTGATATTCAAATCAAGTCTATGAAAATAATCTTAGACACTAATCTTGTTTCTCTTATCAAAAAGAATGTTTCTAAAGATATTGAGAAAAAGATTAGAAACTCCTTCCTGATGACTAAAAGATCTGGTCCAACAGGATTGTTACTTTTAGAGTACTTAAAAAAGAAGTATGGTAGGAAATGTGTTAAGTCCACCATGCCTATTTTTTCTGAAGTCAACTCCGCCTCCTCCAAACCTTTAGATGAAAGAGGAGACTGGGCAATAAAATTTGTCAACACCATGTTCAACTGTAGTGATGAACTTGACATCAATAATTTTTTCGACGATCCTGCTATTAAATCTGCCGTTAGTGCTTATCACGAGAAACTACAGGACGCCATCGCTGCTCTGTTGTTGATGGCTATTACTCCAGAATTAAAGCAAAAATTTAATGATTTTTATGGATCGAGAACTACTATTTCTTATCATGAAGTAGAAGATATGGTAGAGGATCTGAAGACTACCAAACCTTCAAATGTTTCTGCTAACGTAGCTGCTTTTGTTGCTCAGAAGAAGAGATTCTACAACAACAACAATAATAATAATTACAATCAAAAGAAGAAGATTGTTTGCAAAGTCTGCAAAGCTTCTCACAATGTTGAAAATTGTCCTGAGATTCAAAAATTCTTAAGTAAGAACAATTATTCAAAGAAAACCGGCTCATCGAATAATGATGACTGGAATGCTGGTATGGTAAGCTATAATCAAAATAGTTCTGATTCCGGTGAAACTATCTGGATGGCTGTTGATATTGAAGGTAATTGTTTCAATGCAAGCCTCCCAGCTCCAGGCTCTTTCACTGAGAAAGATAAGTCCACCTGGCTTTTGGACACTGGTTGTACTTCACATTTGTGTTGTGACTTACAACTATTTGAAAATTTCAATCCTTCCCGTAACACTAACAACATTAGCGGTGTTGCAGGAAGTGTAGCCATACATGGTTATGGTGATGTTGTTATTGAAGGGATTAGACTAGTTCATGTGGCCTATGTTCCCGACTTCTCCAGTTAATGGTGTTCCATCTTATTCCACAGTAACTAGTGGCTCTAGTTCATATTGTCCTTCTGGAAATGTTACTGTGTTGTCTCTACCTCCATCACCTCCATCTGATGCTCCTAATAGTGATATTTCAGATCCCGATACTGATATGTCAGACATTTCCCAAGAACAATCAGTTTCTCATGATTCCATGGATACTGATCCAGACCAACTATCTGATCATTCCCTAAACGATACACAATCATTCTCTTCTGTTCCTTCTCATAGCTCCGATTCGACGTTTAATCCTACGTCTTCCAGTGATAATAACAATTCATGCGTTGACGCGATATCGAAGCGAACCCGTTCCGAAAGTTGTGTCACTGTCCCGGTCTCTCCTGAAGAAGCTACCATTGATTCACCATCTTCTTCTTCTCGGTTATCTTCTGAGACTCCTTCATTAACAGGAGTTATTCAATCTCTAGCTGATTCTTTTACACGCCGCTCCATAGAACATTCACCTTCCCTTTCCTCATCGCAGCCAAGACAGAAAACGTCAAGTGAATCCATTGCTACAGATATTTACAATGGTCCTCAATCGGAATTTCCTGTTACTCGATTTTCAAAAAATAGGAAGGTTCACTTAGACGATATGGATGCTGACGTTGGTGTTGGTAATCAATTAACAACACTGGATGATCAAATGATTCATGAAATTGGTCTTCTTCCAAACACTCCTCTCAATCCTTCCACAACAGTTGTCACAAGGCCGGTGGCGGATATTCACACCGACGCTATACGTGCACAACTGTCATCAAATTCCAATAATTTTTCTGCTTCGTTACCATCTACTGTTAGATTCTGGGAATCAGTAGATGTCAATCTATAGTTAACCAGGGTCAATCAAATGTCTGTTATACCTAACTCATGGAAAGTTATACCATCAGGGTAACTAGTAATTCCAAAAGGTATATAAGCAGATTTGATTTAAAGTTTTAGAAATTATTTCTTCTTTTCTAAACTTCACTTTTTGTAAATTAATTTGTAAATTATATTTTCATATACTATTAGTTAATTTAAATAATTAAGCCTTTTTGATTACTAACGTATAATTGTACTTATACCTTAGATCTAAGATAATCAATCCCTACTGACACTATCCCAACTATGTCCCAACCTGATCAACAGTCTAACTCTGTCTCTATTCCCCCATCCATGGATACATGCTCCCTACTGGTTTCGAACCTAAGACAACAGGTTATGAGCCCTGTCAGCAATTCCAAACCAATTCCCGTTCTACTATCCGGCCCCCAAAACTACGATATTTGGTTGCATTACTTTATGCGTGTAGTTGGTCGTGCCAGTCATGTTTGGAAAGAATATGTTAATACTGGAGACATTAATTCTGTTAGGATGGAATATCCAGTAACTGATAATCAGATTAATTCGATCTTAGAAGATTTGGATTTTAATCTTATTAATCTTATTAACAAGAGTGTCTCTAAAGAGATTGAGAAAACGATTGAAGAATCTTTTCTTTCAGCTAAAATTGATGGCCCACCTGGACTTTTACTTTTAGAGTATCTGAGAAGTAAATATGGTAGGAAATGTGTTGAATCCTCCATGTCAATCTTTTCTGAACTAACCTCGGCTTCATCAAAACCTCACCCTAACAAGGGTAATTGGGCAAAGAGATTCATCGACGCCATTTTTGATGGTAATGAAGATCTGGATATCAATAATATTTTTCAAGATCCTGCTGTTAGATCTGCTGTTAAGGATTATCACAGGAAATTAAAGGACTATGCTTCAGCCCTATTGTTGATGGCCCTTACACCAGAATTGCAACAGAAGTTTATTGATTTCTTTGGTCCAAGAATTTCGATTTCGTACCATGACGTTGAAAATATGATAGAACGTCAGAACAGTACTGTTCCCTCTGATACTTCTTCAAACGCAGCTGCTTTTGTTGCTCAGAAGAAGAAATTCTACAATAATAACAATGGTAATAACAATGGTAATAGCAATAATAATTATTATAAGAGGAAGACTGTCTGCAAGGTATGCAAAGCTTCACACAATACGGAAAATTGTCCTGAAGTTCAAAAGTTGATTAACAAGAACGACTCTTCTAAGAAAACAATTACAACCAATACCAATAATAATAATAATAATGGCTGGAATGCTGGTATGTTATGTTACCAACAAGATACCTCTGATACAGATGATGACATTCTCTGGATGGCTGTTGATGTTGATGGTAACTGTTTCAATGCGAAACTACCAGATCCAGGATATTTTGCTGAGAACGATAAGGCTACCTGGATCCTGGACACCGGTTGTACTTCACATTTGTGTTGTGACTTACAACTGTTTGAAAATTTTAAACCTTCACGCAGCACCAACAAGATTACTGGTGTTGCAGGAAATGTACCAATTCTTGGTTATGGTGATGTCATCATGGATAACATTAAGCTACAACATGTAGCTTATGTTCCAGACTTACCGGCAAATCTTATTTCGGTTCGTCAAGCAACAGAAGTTGGTGGTTGCGAATTCATCTTTAACAAATCCTCTGTTTTTATGTCATCTCCTTCTAGAAAATTGAAGAAGGTTGGCAGTGTCCACAAGAAACTATATGTCTTAGACATATCTACTAAAGCTCCCGAAATAACTGAGCTCTCTTTTGTTGCCGGAAGTGATCCAATGCTATCCACAGAAATCAAACCTGTCTCTGAAAGCATTCGCTGGCACAGTCGTTTTGGACACCCAGGTATTGAAGCATATAATTCCTTAGCTAGAACCTTTTCTCTTCCTCGTATGCATCCTGAAAACATCACCGTTTGCCCTACATGCTCGTTAGGTAAAGGACTGATCAAGAAAGGGGGAAACTCTAGAACCACATATTCTTCTCCATTACAGCTAATCCAAGTGGATCTCTGTGGAAATTTTCGTTACAAAGAGTATCGGTCCAACCGATACTTTATGACCATTAGAGATGCATATTCTAGGTACTATACAGTTATCCACCTGAACGCCAAGAAGGATGCTACTCAAGAACTTATTGATTGGATCAATCGCACAGAAAACTTCTTTTCCTCTAGAGGAGGCCACAAAGTTGGCAGTATTAGAACTGATAATGGTGGTGAATTCAAGAATAATGTGCTACATGAGTACTTGATTTCTAAAGGAATCACTCATGAACTAACTATCCCATATAGTAGTTTTCAGAACGGTGCTGTTGAGCGTGCTCACAGAACTATCGAAGAAAGAACCAGATGTCTCTTAATATCTGGTAGAGTTCCACCTGAATTATGGAGTGAAGCTGTATCTTGTGCAGTGTATCTAATTAACCGTACTCCAGTTTCTGCCAAAAAGAATATTATTCCTGCAGCCTTATGGTTTCAAGTCAAGTCCTTTACTTTTAATAATTTAAGAACTTTTGGATGTGCTGCTTATATTACTTTACCACCTCAACTTCGTGACGGTAAATTATCTCCTACATCTATAAAAGGGGTACATGTTGGCTATGACTCCCATCATAAAGGTTACAGAATCTATGAAATCGAAACTGGTAAGATATTTGTCAGTAGACAAGTTAAGTTTGATGAGAATGTTTTTCCGTTGGAAGGCTTATCTATTGATGAACTACCTCAGAAGTATGCTACTTCCCCAGTAAACGGTGCTCCATCTTATTCTTCAGTAACCAGTGGATCTAGTTCGTATTATCCATCTGGAAATGTTACTGCGCTGTCCCCACCTCCATCTTCATCATCCTCATCAGATTCTCCTAATGCGGAAAATCCTGATACTGATGCTACAATGACAAATAATTCTCAGGAACCATCCATTTGTCAGGATAACATGGACACTGATACTGATGATTCTCCGACTAATTCTCTTGAAGATGAACAACATTTGTCATCCGTTCTTTCCCACAGTTCAGATTTGAGTTTTAAACCTCCATCCTCTATCATTATGAATAATTCTACTTCAGATAGAATAACAAAGCGTACACGTTCAGAAACTAACGTTACTTTTCCGGTTTCTGCTGACGAAGCTATTGTTGAGACACCTTTTTCACCCTCTCAGTTATCTTCCGAGCCTCCTTCCTCATCTGGTGACAACCATACTATTGAAGATCTGTCTACTCGTCGTCATCTCAAATCCTCCCCATTCACTGACGATACCATTCGTACCTTAGAGGATAAAATTCGTATTTTGGAACGTGACTCTAAGCAACAGTCCGCTATCATTGCTTCCTTCCGATCAAGACAGAAAAATTCAAATGAATCGATTGCTACAGATATTTTTGATGGTACTCAATCCGAATTTCCTGCTACCCGTTTTTCCAAAAACAGGAAGGTCCACTTAGATGATATGAACACAGACGTTGGTGTTGGCAATCAACTGACGACCTTAGATAATCAAATGATTACTGATGTTGGGTTTACTCCGAATACTCCTTTCAATCCGTCTATGTCAGTTGTTACTAGGCCTGTTGCTGATATTCATACTGATGCCATTCGGGCACAGTTGAAATCAAATCCCAACTCTTCTTTTAATTCTCTACCACCAACATGGTTTCCTGCCGGTATTCCGGTTGGTCAGATTGCTCTTCCTCCTCCTTCAAGTCCGTTACCTATTGAATCCACTGATTCTGCCGCTGATTCACCTTCGGTGATATCCCAAGGTTATCTTACCTCGTCTAGTGATACTCCATCTGTCTCACCCCCTAACAATGCATCTCCCTTGGATTTCGCACTATTTGCTGTCTGGTTAGCCAGCTCCATTAGTCAGAAAACCTCTCAGGCTCCTATTACTATCAAACAAGCACTGTATGGTCCCGATGGTGCTGAATGGCGTGCTGCTTGCCTGAAAGAATTATCTGCTTTTAAGGAACACAAGACTTTTTCCCTGGTTCCTCCTCCTAGTGATGCTCGTTCCCTCGGAACTCGCTGGGTGTTCACTATCAAAGATGATGGCAGAAAGAAAGCCCGTTTGGTCGCTCAGGGATTCCGCCAGAAAGAAGGTATTGATTACACGGAAACATTTGCCCCGGTTATTCGCTACGATAGTGTTCGTGTATTGTTGGCTTTGGCCTGCTGTTTAAATCTTCGCATTCATCAAATGGATGTTGATACTGCTTTCTTAAACTCGCAGATGGAAGATGCAGTCTATGTTAAACAACCACCTGGCTTTATTGATTCAGATCCTGCTCACGAAGGATGGGTCTGGAAATTGCATGGTGGCATGTACGGTTTAAAACAGGCACCTTTACTTTGGAACAAGCATATTAATCGTTCTCTGACTGCATTGGGGTTTACTCGAAATGAAAAAGAGTTTGGTCTCTATTTCAAACAAACTGCGGATGGTCCTTTACTTATTGGTCTTTATGTCGATGACCTGCTGATCGCTGCTCCCTCTCCCCGAATTCTGTCTTTGACCAAACAGAAACTACAGGAACTTTATTCCATGAAAGATCTTGGACCTGTTTCCAAATTTCTTGGTATGAACATCACTCAATTTTCCAACGGTAATATTACGCTGTCACTTGCAGACTATATCACCAAAGCCGCCGCTGATCAACAAACTCCTCTCCACAAGAAGGTCCACATTCCTTTGTCCCCTACTATTAATTACTTTGACGACAAGTCCCCTGTCGCTGAAAATATCACTGCTTTTCAAAGCATTGTCGGTCAACTTATTTTTATTGCCAATGCAGGTCGTCCTGACATTGCTTACTCTGTTTCTCTGTTGTCTCGTTTCCTTAAGGATCCTCGAGTTGTTCATGTCTCTGCTGCTCATCGAGTTATGCAATACTTGTATACTACTCGTTTCCATGGTCTCGGTTATCGTGCGGGCTCACCGCTTCAGCTTACTGTCTATTCCGATGCTTCGCATGGCTCTTTAGCGGATATGCCCTTCTCAACGGGGGGTTATGTCACTCGTCTAGCTGGTGGTTGTGTTACTTGGTCCTCCAAAAAGATTAAGACGACAGTTTGTCTTTCGTCTACTGAAGCTGAATATATTGCTGCTAGTGAAGCTGTTAAAGAAATTGAATGGTTATGCGATCTCACTGCTGTTATGGATTTTAAATTAGATAAGACAAGACTTTATGTTGATAATGAACCAGCTATCAAGCTAAGCAAGAATCCGGTAATGCATCCAAGAACAAAACATATTGCTTTGCGATACCACAAAATAAGACATGCAGTTGAACAAGATATTGTTGATCTGGAGTATGTGAATACTAAGGATCAGCAGGCGGACATTCTCACAAAAGTGTTAGCTAAATATCAATTCGAAGCTTTAAGAGATGAATTGGTTTCGAAATTAACTACTTGATTTTCAACTATTGTGAATTAACTTTTACGGAAAGCTTGCATCTAAAGCTTCCGGGGGGATGTTAGATTCTGGGAATCAGTAGATGTCAATCTATAGTTAACCAGGGTCAATCAAATGTCTGTTATACCTAACTCATGGAAAGTTATACCATCAGGGTAACTAGTAATTCCAAAAGGTATATAAGCAGATTTGATTTAAAGTTTTAGAAATTATTTCTTCTTTTCTAAACTTCACTTTTTGTAAATTAATTTGTAAATTATATTTTCATATACTATTAGTTAATTTAAATAATTAAGCCTTTTTGATTACTAACGTATAATTGTACTTATACCTTAGATCTAAGATAATCAATCCCTACTGACACTATCCCAACTATGTCCCAACCTGATCAACAGTCTAACTCTGTCTCTATTCCCCCATCCATGGATACATGCTCCCTACTGGTTTCGAACCTAAGACAACATAGAGGAGTGGTGTAGAGGTGTGGTGTAGAGGTGTGGTGTAGAGGTGTGGTGTAGAGGTGTGGTGTAGAGGTGTGGTGTAGAGGTGTGGTGTAGAGGTGTGGTGTAGAGGTGTGGTGTAGAGGTGTGGTGTAGAGGTGTGGTGTAGAGGTGTGGTGTAGAGGTGTGGTGTAGAGGTGTGGTGTAGAGGTGTGGTGTAGAGGTGTGGTGTAGAGGTGTGGTGTAGAGGTGTGGTGTAGAGGTGTGGTGTAGAGGTGTGGTGTAGAGGTGTGGTGTAGAGGTGTGGTGTAGAGGTGTGGTGTAGAGGTGTGGTGTAGAGGTGTGGTGTAGAGGTGT